ATTATTTTAGAAGATGTTGGAATCACCACAGAGGCGATCGAGACGGTGGAAAACCGTTCCACGGGTCAAGTTGAAGAGTCCAAAGGTGCTACAATGGTAATATCTGATTTTTATTTGGAATTTTACAACAAAAATTACGAAAATTACGAAAAAATCAAAAAAAAATCTTAACTAATCGAAATTTTAATCAGATGTAGATAATAAATTTTCTTGCCAGAATGTTGTTTCTCAGGTAGTCGAAGGATTAGACTCAACGTTAACTTCTGGATCAACTGGAACGATAAATAATGTTACAGCCGATATGATGGAAGAAAGAACGGATACATCAGCATCTGTTAATATGCAACTTCCATGTGTTTATAATCCAACACCGATTGCGGAATTAAAGAAACGTCATATACCAATAGTATCTTATATGCCAACGAGAAAAAGTAAAGTTGCTGTAAAGCGTAAATGTTCTCCAGATGGAGTTAAGCCTTGGTTAAATATAGGTAACGAATCTATGGAATCTCAAAATGTTGAAATTAAATACAAACCTACAATGATAATCAGTCCTGAATCTCGAGATACTATGCAAAGTTACATACCTACATGTAAATCGGATTCAGCTTCGTTAAATTCTTGCAAGGATGGTAGTTCGAACGAGTATTTATTTAAAATCAGGGAAACTTATTATCCAAAATGTAAGAAGAGAAGAGAAGAATATGTTCCAAAGAAAGTAAAAGCTCCGTTAAAATCTGTCGATGGATTAAACGAATCTGCATTTGATCATTTTGAAACTGAGCTTGATATGATGGACGAGGTTACTAAATTTACTAAATCGTCTATTAAATCGATTTCTGATGTACAATCTGACAAAATGTCTCAAGATAATAAATCTTCTATAAATATTGAACCGAAATTTTCTGATGACGATGAAGAAGAAAATAATCGTGATAATGTCGAAAATCATAGTCACAATGACACAAATAAAACCAATACTGCACAAATTGATTCCATAGACACGGAACAAATTGATTCGTATCGCGATACTGAGAAATCCGATTATTTGAAAAATAATCAGAAAATAGATGCACATTATTCAAAGTCAATTAATGATAATAATTGCATTAATGAAAATACATATAGTAACATTTTGAATCGAGATAGATTTCCAAATAAGGAAAATTCGAAAAACTCCTTGCAGTCTGACAAAGGAAATGTATCGGAAGTAGATTCGAATAAAGATACCTTTTTAAATGATAAGGAATATAAGAGCAGGGATAAAAATAAAATTGAAAATCAAAAAGATCATAATACATCTCGTAAGGATAAATATGAGTCGAATAAAAAAACTCATTCCACCTCGTGTAGTAAAAGTAAAAGTAAGAATCATTTGAGACACAAAAGCAAAGGATCAAGAGATAAGAAATATGATAAAGATAAGAATAAATATAAGCATCAGGATAAAGACAAAAATAAAGAAAGCAAACACAAGACGAAAAGTGATAGAAGGGACCATCATAGATCTGAGAAAAAACGTCACGGCTATTCTTCTGAGAAAAGAGAAGAACACGTTAAAAATAAAAATGATAAAAATTACAAACATTCGAAAATAGATCGTAAATCGAATGATATGATAATCGAGAAATTGCACGTACATGAACGAAATAAAGAAGAAATAAATTCAACTCACAAATCGGTAAATTTGATAGAAAATGTCCGTCTGAATTCGTTGAACAATAGCGATGAAGAGAACGAGGATCGTCAAAGTAGTATTATCGATAACGATATTGATGTAACTTTCAGTACATCTGATTCGGATCATGATGTACAAGAAGAATGTTTAAAAATATTTCAGGTATGCACATTAAAAATTGATCTTATCGAGATTCTCTAAAAATTGAAGAATAGTATCGAAGAATATATTTATATATATTTGTGTTACAAGGAATATCAAGTACCTGAACGGTCAAAAGAAATAGAGCCATCGAAAGAATTATCGGCATTCCACGAGAACGAAAAGGAACAAAAAGAAGAGATTGGCAGAAAAAGAGTGGCGCACCCTTCAGCTGCTGCATGTGTTACCAGACAAATTGGAATTAATCAACAGGCAAGAAAATTGATAAATCCGCAACAAAAAATGTATGAAAGGTGGCGTTTAATACGAGATACTGTAACAGAAAAACCTATTACCGCGAGCAGTAATATTTCTAAGGATGTACGCCGAATTTGTCCCGAAACGATAGGGATAGGAACGATCAACAATGATTTAAAATTAAATGGAAATGGTAATATAATTGTTTTTTTGGGGAAATACACAAAAATATTTTAAATATTATAAATAGACATTGTGTTAATTAATTAGTTACCTATACGAGATTTATTTTGTTTAATAATATTTGTAACAGGTCGCGTTCGAATTGCTCATGTACCGTATGCTAAATCTCTAGCAATAGAAAAAAAAAAGGTGACGGAAAATTGCGTAGGAAAATTGGGAGAAGCAAAAATAACGGATAATTATAAAACAGCTGCGCAAACGGCGAAGAGCGGTGTACGCATTGCTCATGTTCCACAAGTGGTCTGTATTAAATATTTTAAGAGTAGTTATTAGGGTATAATATTTTGTTATAATTGTTGATATTGTTAATTGCCTTTTAGATTCCTCAATTAATACGCCCTGAACCATTGCAAGTAACCACGCAAAAATTTCCTTTAAATGTTCGTCAGTATTATGTGAATATGATGCATGACGTATGCGTATTAATTTACACAAATTCCGAGGATGCAGCTCAACGTGCAGTCAAAGAAGAATACGCTTGTCACGAAAGATGTAAAGCGCTAGCTGTTTATAAAAATTCTTGCATGCTTGCTGCTCATAGATTGAGAAAAGAAGTTGATCAAAATTCATCTGTGGATAATAATGCAACAACAATGCCGGGTAGCAGTACGATGTCTCACGAAGTAATACTTGCTGGGAAAGTTAAAGGTTCTTGGAGTGTTCTTAAGACAAAAAAATCTGTTATGGAATTTAGAGGTGCAATTTTATATAATATGTTAAAAAAATGGATAATGACGGAACAACAACTTCGAGATAACGGATTTCCTCGTCCACATCCCGATGGTCAGAAGGTAAAATATGATAAAATTTAATAAAATTCATCGAATTTATTTATTTTTTAATGTTAAATATTCTTTGAATTAAAGGGCCGTGCCAAAGTTTATGTAACCAATTCGCGAAATCAAAGTGTTCTGTCAAAAGTGCCTAACGAAAGAATTTGTAGTCGATGTGGTCAAACTTACATGATCGATAAACAAGGATTTGCTTTACAACCACAGAATTGTATATACCATTGGGGCAGAAAATTCACAATCAGAGGTGAAAGCAAATATAGTTGTTGTCAACAATATGGTTCTGCAACTGGTTGTTGCGATGCAAAAACACACGTTTGGGATTATACAGATTATGAAAATCTTCGTGGTTATGTAAAAACTTTGCCAAAAAGTAATTCTTAAATATTTATTCTTTTTTTTTATTTCTCTCTCTTTTTCTATTCTTTGTTTTACATTGTTATTATTCTTGTTATCGTTATGTTATCGTTATTGTTAAGATACACCGATCGAAGAACAAGGAGTATATGCGCTTGATTGTGAAATGTGTTACACTACTCAAGGACTGGAACTAACCAGGATAACAGTTATTGACGAGGATTGCAATGTAGTATATGAGACGTTAGTCAATCCGCAAAATCCTATAATAGATTATAACACAAGGTAAAAAAGTATTAAAATTTGTTCTTTCCTCTCCCTTTTTTCCTCTCATCTCCTTTTTATATGGAAAATATATATATTCTTCATTTAAAAAAAAAAAGAAATATATATATATATATATTTTTTTATTTATTTATTTATTTTTGTTCTTTTTTTGAACAAATAACAATATTATTCATGTGTGCAGATTTTCTGGTATTACGGAAGAAAATATGAAAAATGTTACAACAACGTTATTAGATGTTCAAGCGACACTGCTGACAATGTTTTCTGAGAAAACTATATTAGTTGGTCATAGTTTAGAAAGCGATTTCAAAGCTTTAAGACTCTTGCATGGAACTGTGGTCGATACAAGCGTAATGTTTCCACATAAAAATGGATATCCACAGAAGAGAGCATTAAAAAATCTTTGCTCGGAATATTTAAGAAAGCTTATTCAAAATGATGGTTAGTTGAAAAATTATTTATTTTCTATTTTTATTAGAAGTATATAATTAATTTGTTTCATGATTTTTTTTATACGATTATTGATGGAATAAAATTAACTGTTCCAATTAATCTTTTAACAACATTACAGTTGGTGGACACGATAGTAAAGAGGATGCCATCGCTTGTATGGAATTAATACTTTGGAAAGCAAAGGAAGAAGCAAAATTACAATAGATGATGTCAGACTGAATTGTGTATAGCTTATGGTTTTACGGATTATTAAACGATGATAATCGTTTTTTTTTTCTTTTCTAAATATTGTATGAATTGTATTATAGTTTTTTATGTATAAATGTGATATACATACGTCAGATAAATTGTGGAATCGATTATTATCACAATCACAACTCACCTTTGAATTACATTTACAATTTTATGATAGTACAAGTTTATTCTTTTGGTCGTATGTAATTCATACTTTTATAAGATTTCTTTATTATTGCGCTTTGATTTTTGAATCGTTCGAATGTAAATAGAACAATATATATGATCTATGTTGTATCTTTTTTCTTAGTTGTCTTCGAAACTATACAAGATGTAAACTTATTTTTGGAGATTAAAAGTCTTGCAATAAACGAACTTGAATATTTTGTACGTGTTCAAATATTTTCTTCTTCGATAATATTTTTTTAATTAAAAATTAAATTATAAAATATATTAATTTACTTTAATTATTTAATATTTATTTTAAGATAAGTAATCGACGATAATAAATAAATAAAAGAGAGAATATAAATAGAAATAATAAATAATATGTACACGGATAATAAAAAATATATTTGATTTTTTTTTGATCCAATTTTATTATATAAAACTACATCGATGTTTCATTCAAATGTGCGTTCAATCGTTTTGTACCAACATGGCATCTTGATTTCAATTTTACCATTGAAACACAATCGATCAACAATTTTTTTACTCGATTCGTTCGATTGAACTAAAACATTTTAGAATGCGTATACTTTGACGTATAACAGGTACCATGACGTGAATAAGCGAGCTTATTTCGTTATTTGCATCTATGGTTTGTATATAAATAGCTCGCAGCTACGTTTTGCTGTCATAAACGGACTCTTTTTCTCATTTTAGCACCGTATTGAAAAATAATCATCATTAACTTTTACTTTTTAAATTTACTGTATCCAAGATTATTTTGTTCTCTCTTCTCTCTCTCTCTCTCTCTCTCTCTCTCTCTCATTCATTTTTCTTTTCCCCCTCGTGTACATTATTTTCACCTCTTCTCATTTTCTCGTTCAAATTGCAATGAGAAGTAATTCGAAGAAAAATAATTCATGTTTCATTGACACACGTACATATTTACTATGTGTGTGTATCTCATTAGGAAATCTTGAACAGTATTCGAAATATATTGATAAAAGGACGAAGTATCTTCCTTCGAATTGTCTTAAAACGAAATGACGATCGATGAATTTATGTTATGAGTATGTGTAAAAGGAAGCGTTTATATTTTTCATTCGTGTTGGGTAAAAAATAGTTTATCTGTCTCCTTTGAAACAAACATTATTGTCAAGATATATTTATATCCTAATCTTTGGTATTTTGTATTTCTACTGGTTCTTATATTGAATATTTCTCAAATTTTAGGCATTTTACCGCATTCGCGTGTAAAAAGAAAAAAAGATAAAGAAATACGTATTGCATCGTACGTGTTTCAATATACATAAGTAGCTACATACGTATATATGCATCGACACAATCCTAAAGAGATATCGAATATAATGTCGAATCATTTATATATATATATCACAATATATATATATATATGTGTGTGTGTGCGTGTGTGTGTGTACATAGTGAAAATATATTTTAAAGTGTCGATAATAGGCTACCTTTGGTGGAAGACTATTCGAATTATGGACTATATTCGCGGGTTGTGTAATTATTATAGCAACATAACAATTTCCAAATATGGAAGCACCCCGATTGACCTTATCGTGTGATAGAAATTGTGCTAATACGTGAATAGATATTGCAAATTAAGCGAAAATGTTGAAAAATAGCTTGCTTTGTATGTGTGATTATGTGATAATAATAATTATCATGGTATACGAAGGCAACTATTCAAAGACACGTATATAAATCGTATCAACGTAACGAATGATATCGAATATTATTTCATATTTTTCGATTATGAGGTGCCTTTTCTTTTTTCATTTCTCTATTCCTAATTATACTTTTCGGAAACGATACCCATTCGACATCGATTTAAAAAAATTGTTTATAACGAGACATTGCGTCATTTTGTATACATTTACATAATGAAATTTCTATTCTTTCGACGATTTGATGTGAAATAAAATAATAAAATAATTATCGTATAGTATAGAAAAAAGATTTTTAACGAAAAAATATTCATATTTAATTAATTATCACGAAAATATAATACAATATAATATATATTTTTATCTTTCCTCTATATATATATTGGCAAAAGTACAACTTTATGAGATTTTATTTTGGCATTGATTTTTCGAATTCGAATTGCACGTATTGCTTCGTTTTCTTGGAAAGGTATATATGTTATCTTTTTAGATATGCTGTGCTGACAAAATAATTATTTTTAAATTTTGCTTATGAGAAAAAAGAGAAAATATGGCACCATATATCTATTTAATAGCGATATATGTATAATAATTATAAAAACTATGACAGCAACAACATTGGCGATAGCACTGACGATAACGATGATAGGATGGATGTTGTTGGAAAAAAAAGAATCGGAGAAACATTTGCAGAATGCAAGTATACGTATGTAGATATTTTTTAGGGAGGGATTGTTCGATCGAAATCTTGATCTCCAACGAGATAAAGAAATTGAAAAGCGATCGCTAACAAACTGATGCCTAATAAATCTCCCATCGCTGTTAAATATGGAATCGCCGAATTGTCTGGATCGATTTTTCGTTCCACATCCAATGTATCATTATGTAGGCAATGTACAGGAGAGCGGCAACTTGGAGCATGGCGGCGCACAAGTAAACAAAAACGAAGAGAGGCGTTAATGAAGTGTTGCCATCCTTCATATAATTAATTAGATAAATGAAAATTACGTGGCCTGGTATAACCATTGCCATTAGAACTCTGGTTGTTCTCGCGTGCATACCTGGAAGAAAAAGAAATGGAATTAATCGTTGAAAGATAATGGATAAAAAGAAGAAATTGGTGGACTCAAGTGAAATAAATTTTGCTTTTTACCTTGCCAAAAAAGTTAGCGATAGGTGTAATAAAGATAACGGGATGCGTGTGACCAGGTGGAATTAGAAGAGTTCCCAGTTCGGCTTGTTTGTGAAGGGCTGTCGATATTCTGCTTGCTTGTACAGCTACCAAATTTCCACCGACGCCGTTGATCACCGGTTGGAAAACGGTCAAGTTTTCGAATCGCGAGACCATGAATTCGAGTATCAGACCACCGCAACTGTTTGGTCAACAATAGCGGTCGTTCGTGTTCACTTTTAATATGTACTCGGTTCGTGCCTTTTTTTTATCCGTTCTTTTATTCTCGACATTCGTAAAACGAAATCAAACGAAATCAAACGAAACGAAACGAAACGGAACGGAACGGAACGGAACGAAACGGAATGGAACGAAACGGAATAGAACGAAACGAAACGAAACGGAATAGAACGAAACGAAACGAAACGGAATAGAATGAAACGAAACGAAACGGAATAGAACGAAACGAAACGAAACGAAACGAAACGAAACGAAACGAAACGAGACGAGACGAGACGAGACGAGACAAGACGAGACGAGACGAAACGAACGAAACGAAACGAAATGAAAAGATATACACATATGAATCGGTACTCACCTGCTGATCAACATAGCGATCATGACAGGAGTCCATCCGGAGTAAAGGACATCGTTTGTGTACTTGTTTCTCTTGGCGATCCATACCCAGAGAGGTGTAATCAGGATGTAGCAAGCTATCACGAGGGGTGCGACCCAATCTTGTTTGTTTATTGATTCGTAAAGAATCGTAGATATCCATGAGAGTAAAGCCAAAGAGGTGATATCTCCAAGACTGGCTGCGATCGGTGTCGCGACGTTGTCCGGATTAATATGACAATGTCGGGAAAAAACGATCACACCTGCAGTTATCAATCCAAGGACGAACGAAGCCAGGGATGCGGTAACCAAACTGCTCGCGCACAATAGATATGCATGATCGAACGAGATGGTACCGTTTCGAGATGCTCCCATTACGATTGCCACCACAGAGCCGAGAAATCCAACCACTATCGCCTGGCACTGCCAACACGAACTGATTTTCTTTACACAAACGGTCATACCGAGCGGAAATAATGATTGAAAATGATAAACGTTCGATCGGGAAATATAAGGAGAAGGAAAATCTGTGAAAATTCATCGATATCCATTGATATCATGTATCGATATTGGGAATTCGTTGAATTCGACAAATTTTTTTTTTTCCGGAAAAATTCTCGATCGAATAGAAAAAATTGTAGAAACGAATATGCATTTTCGCGATAAGTATCGTCATTGCATCTCCAGTACTCGATCAAGTAAAAGAGCGCGACGATAAACATCACGTTGACTCTCGAAGGTCGTTTACCGTTCACGCGTTCAATATCGCGTGTGAGTGTGTATAATCAAATAAAATCGTGACGCCAATGATAAGACATCGGTGAATCGCGTCTTGTCGGTAGAAAGCATCCGATTTTGCGAATAACGGTAAAAATATATTGGGGGGGGGGAGAAGAGGAGGGGGGGGGGCGGAAAAAAAGAAAACGATATTTATATATTTACGAATTTAAAAATGAAGGGAAAAAGTAAAAATAGAATTTGAATCCGACTCACTTGAATCAAGACGAGATTTCCAACGATCATGTACCATTGTTGTTTCGGCGTGTCCATATGGCCGAGATTCGCTTGAGTCGAAAGACGGGATGCAAGAGTCATTTCTAAATTTCCTTTCAAACCCAATAACGCTGGGACTAGAATGATGAGTTCGCTCACTTTCTCGAACACGACCCAATGCTGTGTGGAATAAGAATAAGATAAGAAAGTAACGTAAGAATAAGATGTAACGTGGATGGTCGGTGATTAATGATGCACATAATAGATGAATTATCGATCGAAAGTAACAAAGGAGAAGAGAGGAAAAATCTGAATTGAACGAAAACGAAGAGAAGAGATTCATACTTGAACCAAGTCTAAAACTAATCCTGCCCCCACCATGCCAAGGCCGGCGATAAGAAACGGTATGAAAACTTGAATGGTGATCGCCAAATACGATTCGAGAGGTTCATCTTCGTTTACACCGTATATTTTACTCTGAGCGACAAGATCGGGAAGACGGCCGCTATCGGTGGTTCCCTCGTCGAATATAGGTACATCGACGCGGTCTTGTTCCGCGGATTTGTCGTTGGGATCGGTGACGGTGTCAACCCCGACAACCGTGTCCATCCATGCGTTCGTGCCCGTTCCTCCCCCCATACCCATCATCGTCACCGTAGTCGTGCCTGTGCCCAAACTCGTGCCCATGATCGTTGTGTTTACGATCGTTGATTCCGAGCCAGTGGTCGAACGAGCATCCTCCGACGTTATCCTGTGGCAAGTTTGCTTTTCGGAAAGTAAAGGTTCTTTGCATTGATCACTGTCGACAGAAAATTAACATGATAAATCATGAGGCATATATCGCATAACGCGATATACACGTTCGAATATGCGAGTATTCGTAACATGGATATTTCGTGCATCGATAGATAATACGTAATAAAGGTATTTTTGATCTCGTTGAACGGAAAAAAAAAAAAAAAAACCAAGAAAATTGTATCTCTACGAATCGTATGAAAAAGTTTAGCACGTGCACGCGTGGATTTGAAAATTGAATATAATGAAATAATTATCGTGTAATAATTGTTGAACGTACTTTTCAAATTTGGATGTAACATCGATATGGGCGTTTTTGTCGGGAGGTAATCGTACCGGATGTTGATGCACCTGGTCCTCTATCATCTTCTACTGAGGATCCCGTGCGATTCGCTGCCACCGATATATAGCCATTCTCCTTTGAGAATGATAACGCTTGTCTAAATGTTCGCTCGTTGTAGTTGTATTTCAGGACAAGAATCGAGCAAATTACGTAACCAACGAGGGACGATATCTCTAGTCTGATTCGCTCTGAACTACATTGTAAGGCACATCGAAAATTAAAACCTATCCACTTTTAATATCGCGAACAAACGACAGATTTCGAATTTCGATATTACGGTTTAAACGTATCAAATATTTTTCTATCGTTCGATCGTCACTCGTTACTCTTCATTTCATTATCTCACCCTTTTTCTACCTTTTAATTAAAACTGAAATCTTGAATAATTTTTCATATTCTTCTTTACGTACATACATATGTCCATACACTTATTTGTTATTATTACTCGTTTAATGTTAAAAAAAAAGTCATTTCAAAAAAAAGAAAGAAAGAAAAAAGAAAAGAACCGATCTTTCTATCGAATCAATCTATATTTCGTTCATGTTATACCACGCAAAAATACGATGGTACGTAAGACGATATTGATCCTCGAGTTTCGATAATTGTTACGTTTCATTTGCGATTACTTTTTTTTTTTTTTTTTATTTTTAAATGATCTTATTTTCTTAAAAGATCGAGTTGAAAGTAAATGAAAATTGACCGTTAATTGTCGCCTTATGCAAATTATCATTTATACGTATTTCCACATAACGTACATGTTTTTTTTTTTTTCAAAATTTTTCCGCGACATGATCGTCATATCGAACGTTTGTTTTTCATGTTCGATGACGATTTCGAAAAAAATACAGAAAATAGGAAAGAATAAGAAACGTGTACGTATATTCGTGCAGAAGCGCGCGCGCGCGAGCGTGCGTGTGTATGAGAGAGATGTAGAAAGAGAGAAAGAGAGTGGACAATTTTAACATGTATTTTGCCAATTATAGGATGTCGATTAGAGTCCCTGCTGTTTACGTAAAAGATATTAGGATTGAGGAGAAAAAAAATTTTTTTTGAACATAGAAAAAAAGTTACCTTTATCTTCGTAAGGGAATCCTCGATGATGTATCGAACCTTGACCAGATTCATAGACCCGAAAAACCTGATTTTCAATGTTCTCGAAACTGTGTTGATTCTGATAAAAAAGAAAAATTAACCGTCGTCACGCATTTGGTGGTGCAAGGCTGGTGGCCTGGTGCGAGGCCGTTTCACACTATGGTTACATCGCGACTGATCTCGATCATGCATCACGTTTGTCTCCTTAAAACTCGCTTAGGACTTTTACCGGGAACATACGCTAAACGGAGCAAGCGCGAATTTATCGATCGTCAGTCGACGAAGTAAACCTTGATTGCTCGCCTACCTTACCGTCTGCTTTTCCTCGCCTACCTAACTCTATATCTTTTCGTTTTCTTGCCTAACCGTTTAACTATCAATCTACCTACCTATCGCCCGTTTTTCGCACCTGTCTTTCTCTCTTAATCCTTTATCTTACTCATTCCTATTATTTACCTATCTGTTATCTCGTTCACGTAACGTGCCTACTATTTACATCTATCTGATTAATTATTGGATTATTTCTTCGTTTAGCTACGATCTTTTTAAATATCGTACGGCCTCTTTCACCTCTGCCTCGTCCGTACTTCGAAGCGTTACTTCGCTTCATCGACCTTCTTACTAACTAAAAATCGCTACATCAGTCCATTTTAAATCTAATTTTCCGCTAACATTCGATATTTTTGGCGATTAATTGGCTAATCAATAATAATCGAATTGAATCAACGGTGATTATCATTCTAAATTGTTATAAAAAAAATCGAACGCATAAATTACCGAAGGAAACGAAATACGTCGAATGTTTTCTTTACATTTGACGAAAAATTGAATTTTACAATTTCGCTTACACGAGTTAAATCTTATACGAGTCGATATCCATTTATACGCGAAACGTGAAAATAGTATATAGTAGTGATGATTGGTCGAACACATAATACATTTATTAAAAATTGCACGTTTCGTCGTTAATTTTACTTATCGTTTTATCGTTAATTTTAGCTTTATTATCCGTATACATTATACATAATCTGCGTATACTTGCAATATTTATTTATTATTTATTAACTATATTAATTTAATTACGATAACGTCTATATATAATAGTTTATATTTATAATATAACGTTTATATTTATAATATATATATATATAAATATTTTGCGTGTGTGCGCATGTGTATTATTATTATATATTTTTATCACACTTGTATGTATTTTTTATCTATATACTTCCTTAAAGATCGATTATGTAAGAACTTTGATAGTCGGTCGTCCGTAAATCGAGCGTTTCACTTTGACATTGAGTTTCGACTCACGAGTATCGCAACTCACCGCGTTATAACTGAATCGAGAGTTTCCTGCACTTTGTGACGCAAAGATTTTTTTCTCATTCATCGTTTAATCCCAATTATCATTTCTTCTTTCGATCCACGTTAATAGAACGAATCATTTTTGATACCTGTAATAATTGGCTCTTTGCATCTTATTATGCAATAAATTATATATTATAAATTACTTACACACACACACACACACACACACACACACACACACACACACACACACACACACACACACACACACACACACACACACACACACTAACACAC